CATGGTTTGGCTGGGGCAAAATACACAGAAAGACAACTGGGTTATAATTAAGAACATTAGCTATACACAGCCCAAAGATGTAAAATCTGTTTCCTGACTATGTCTGCTGATTTAGTATGACAGAGCACCTGCCAATGCAGTGGAAAAATGCTCAACATGGAGGTCTCTGCAAATGGAAAAATTAAGTTTGAACCCTTCATCAACTCTCTGTCTTCATTTTGTCAGTATCTTTGTGACAGTAATTTTTTTTTGATGAATGACAACATATTTGCTATCATGGTATATGTTGTTCATTGTATTTCAGAAATTAAGTGTTCATATTAAATTATATTTCAAACAGATGAAGGAAAAAGTTATACGGCCTTTATTTTGCTTTGATCTGCAGGATGGCTTAGCCTTGCAGCCACTGTTTTCCAATAAAATATCCAGTCTGTTTGGGTATGAATGCTGTACATATTCCAGTGTTAATCCTGAAATCCTAATCTTTAAACCTAGAATTTGCCATTATGTCAATGTCACTTGTCAAGTCATTTAACCTCTCATTCCTTCTGTTACATTGTTCCTATTTCATATAAAAATGATCTAGATCATAAAATTATTCCATGTCTTAATCAGAAGTTTGAAAAGAGTCAGTCCTCTAGGGTAAATGATAACATGGTCAAAACTTTCAAAAATAGGTTGTTGCCACACACGTATTTTGGCAGCTGAAGGTGGCTTAATTTTGCAGAAGTTTCTTACCCATTTCCGCCACTGTCCTACTTTCTCAAAACCATGACACATCTTTTATTTGTCTGCTATAATCTACAGGCAGGACAGGGAAAGCTCCTGAAGGGTTTTGAAGCCCCTCTTCAGAGGGGTGAAGTCTGGGTCCCCAGGCATGTTGGAAAGGTTGGAATAACCTCCTTCCCAGCTAAAGGGAATGGGACATCCCAACAATTGCAGACACCTTTAAAATCATAACTTTTAACCAATTAACCTATTCTCCTTTTTTTTTTTTCTTTTTTTTTTTTTTTGTTAAATCTGTATCAGAGTGTGAGTAAACTTTTTTGGACCATATATTCTGGGGGAGAGGAGAATAAAACTCCTTCAGATATTTTCAGAGTAAACACCTTCCTCTGTATTTCACAGAATAAAAAATATCCCTGTTTGCTCATGTCCTTCACAGAAATTGTGTTTTTCCATGCATGAAACTTCAGCTAAAATGTCATAATTCAAAATACAAGATTGTCCAAGAGGTTTCTGAATCTCTTTCTGGCTTGGTGTGATGACCATGTAGATACTGGCATATGGGTTGCAAATGATGGGTCTTGGAAACATCACGTCATTATGCAGACCATACAGTACCTTGCAGGAAATGTGGGGATTTAATCCAGAGCCCCATCTGAGCTGCAGACATGTAGCATTCTGGTTGTCTAACATCTCCCGTATCATTTTTTTTCCCCCTCTTTATCATGTAACACTGCTTGATGATGCTTAATGGAAACCATGTCCTTCTCACAAAAAATCCTGTCACTTTGGTGTAAAATTCAACATTTTCCAAAACCAAACATCTTTATTGAACTTTGTACACAATCAATTTTTAACCCTCAATAAAGAATTATAATAAATTTGTATAGATAAATTTCTTCATTAATGTCCTGATTTTAAAGGCCAGAGTAATTCTTTAGGGGAAGAAATTGTCTTTAGCAAGCCTGCCAAGTTGGTAGTTCTGTGGAACTTTTTTGAGGAAGCAGAGAATTTGCTGTAGGACATATTGCTGTTAGCAAGAAAATGAGCAGTCTTGTCTTTCTGACTTTCCCTCTGTTATTTATCTATTCATGTGTGAGTCAAGAGGGGTTTAGTGGGGGCTGGACTGCATCATTAAGGGTGGATGAATTCAGTTATGTGTTTGAAATTGTGACAGTTGCTTGCCCATATATTCACTATTATTTCTGATTCTCCCCTGACTCCTGCAGACTCCAGAAGTGTCTTTGGTGCCTTTTCCTTGCTGATTCTCCTTGCTACCATTTCCTTCTTCTTGTCCTATACAGTTTGTTCCTCTCAGTCTGTGTTTAGCTCTTTGATCCCTACCTGCACCTGTTCCCTCCCTTCTCTTTCCTTCCAGCACTTCGCTTATCTTTCTTTTGTCCATTGACTTGTTGCTTTTCCCCCTCCTCCTTGCTCTGTGAACACATATATAGCACACAGGACAGTGCAGACTGCCTAGCATCTCCCTCCTGCCTTCCCAGCAGATCCACCCCAGAGCTCCCGACACCTCGCCTGCGGGCTCTTCCCAGCACCAGCAATTTCATGCCATGGCCTCATATAAAACTTGACGTAAAAAAGCACCCTGTCAGTGCCCAGGGTTGACATGTGGGTGAACACTTCAGCTGAGGTTCAGCTTATTTCATGCTTTAATGAGAAAGGTTGTTAAGGAGATATCAAATTGGTTTTTATGAGTATTTCGGAGCCCCTGAAAAAAATTCATTTAAATTCACAGAGGCGGTTTCCAACTATCGAACACCATGGCTGTCCTGGTAAGTGGAGAAGGAAATCCAGCAAAATGGTGAAGCCAGGTGGAATAGAAGCATTTCCAAAGCTGCCTTTATTGCGTAGATGGATATAAAGGGATTTTCTTTATTTTGTTGTCTGAGAACAGCAATGAAATCCAGATTGGGATGGGATCTCTCTGTTTTTTTTATATTATCGTAAACGCTGGGGGAGCTGTGTGATCGGTAAACAACTGTCATGAATGTGCTGCTTTTAACAGCATTTAAATGAAGTCAAAACGCTTGTTCAAGACACAGCTGGAGTGAAGTGCAGTGTTGAAAGCTTAAGCAGATGGGGCCTAAGGGGTTCATGAAATATAGCTGGGAGCAGTTCTGTGAGTTTCTGAGCACCCCAGTCTGCGACTGAAGTTGATAAGCACTGAGAGGTCTTAGGGCTTTCCAGTAAAAGGATTTTATTGCGGTTCTGGTCTGAGTGTCCCAAGCATGAGGGTCAGGATGAAAGCCCCATCTGATGAATCAAATGACTATGACTGTTGATAATAGCAAAGCAAAGCATAGGTCTTTAAAAACACTTTGGGTGGTTCGACTGTGCAAGCCATTAGAATCAGTTGCGTGGACTCTGTATTGGAGCCCATGATGCTCTGATGTGCCATCATAGATTATACACGAAGCAGAAAACAGCAACTTGTTCCTGTACTGAGAGTGGCATAAATGTGGTCAGACACTATCATTTTTGGTAAAAATGAGGCAAAACATTCTTGGTTCAGAAGGTCACTGCCACATGTAGACAAGCTGTCAAACATCCACCGTATCAGCTTGCAAAAGTCTTTTCATCCATTCCTAAGCTTCCTGTCACCATTTCCCTGTTGCTGCTGGGTACAAAAGTGGTTCTGGATAAACAGGCACTTTCCAAAGCAGCAGCCTCTTCCTTTTGTTTATCCATTTATCCACAGGCTTAATGATTCACTGGGTCATTTCGCAACTCAGGAACTGTTGGTGAGGTCACAGCCACTTGGTTGTGTCATCTAAGTGCATGACTTAAAAAGGAAAAACCTGGCCAGGAAATGAAATGCTTCTGTTTAGCCACATCTAGATAAGCAGCAGTTGTGGGGAATGAAAGTCAGAGAAAGTTGGTGATAGCCAGATGAGACTGTGATCAAACATTAGTGTTTTTAAGAGCAAACTGGAGTGTGGTTGTGTTTGCTCAGACTGCTCCCAAGATTTTTTCACAAAGCACTACATAGAAGAGCAGAATAATCTACCGATGGGGTGAAAAAAAAAAAAAAAAATGAAGAAAAGCGTCCTGCCTCTTTTTATTTTATATAAATAAAATATGGTCCTTCAACTGGTGGATCCTTCAGCTAGTGTGATCTAGTCAGACAAGTCCTTGCCTCTGATGTCTGTTGGACAAAGCAGCTGCTTCAGGAGGAGGTTTTGGTGAACAGGAGCAAAGATTTTCTGTTCCTTGTCAGGCCAGTGCTCTGTCTTGCCCAGTACCTCGCTGCTAAACCAGTAATGAGCACTGAAACATTAGACTGGCCCCAAATGCCAGAGCAAAGGTCTGTTCAGACCAGCATTGTCTGAATGATGCTCAAATTCTCAGAAAACACTGTGAGAACAGAGAAAAAAAAAAAAAATAAAAAAAAAAAAGGTGCATATAGCACTGACTGTAACATTTTCCTGGCTTCTCCTCAGTAAGATCCAGATGCTGTGGAAGAAGCGATGAGAGTGCAAGAAATAATACACTGTTATGGAATAACCTAATGAAGGGGAGGCACTGCCCACTCCTGGCAATTAGTGACTGGCTGCTGTGATGAAGTTTCTTTATTTGTGTAATCCTCTCTGGGGTAACCACAGGGAGGCTGCTATTAAGGCCAACGTTTGGACTTGTGATTTAATCCGATTCGTTGGCTTCAGCGATTACACACAGAGCCGTTTGTGTTGTGGAATAACTCTGTGTACATAGAGAAATTCTGACGCTGTTTCCCTGCCTGAGTCAGGGTTGAGCCAACGGTGAGGAGATACTCTGGGCTGCCAGGGAGGGCCAAAGAGGAGGCCTTAACCTCTTGTTGTCACTGACAAACTGGGAGCACTCTGGGCACTGGTGCAGCATTTAGTCCTAGGGACTTTGCTGCTATGTGAAATAAACATCCTAAAACTTCAGGAAGGGGGAGAGTACATCATCCATCAAGTCAGCAGCCGGACAATAGTCCATGCCCCTGTGTGTGGAAATGGTGCTTTCTGATTTTCAAGCTTTGCTCACACCTCTTCTGGACTATGGTTCTTTATTAAAATTGTTGTATTTGGTAAGCCTTTAGTGTTTTGTGTGAATGTGAATGACTACATATGTTTGTAAAGGCAAAGAAAGATGCTCATAGTGCCATTGCTATGATTAACAAGAGCAGCTATCAAAAGACACTAGAAGAACTAGATTCGATGGTTATGTTTCAGTTAACAGCTGCCAAAGAAAAGACACCACTTAAAACTGGGGTTTTACTTTTCTTTTTTCAGGGGTGCGTTCTCTGAAGTTGTTTTGGCTGAAGAGAGAGCAAGTGGGAAACTCTTTGCAGTCAAGTGCATTCCCAAGAAAGCACTGAAGGGGAAGGAAAGCAGCATAGAGAATGAAATTGCAGTCCTGAGAAAGTAAGTATCAGACCTTCACTTCTGCTTCTTTGCTTCGATTAAACGCCTGCTTTTAAGAAGCAGGAACAGTGGTTGACAGCTGTGACTGACAGGTAGTTCAGCCCATCACAGGCAGACAAGATCATCTGAGTTTAAATGATGCTGAACATGTTTTGAAAAATGCTCTGGTTTCCTTTTCTATTAATTTAGCCAGATGACTGCAAAGTGGGAAATAAGAGGAGTTAGGCTGGAGTAAAATCTATGATGCCCTGAAAAGACCTTATCCACTAATAATGTCAGCAGTTGGGTCACTGGCTTCTAGGAGAGCAGGAGCAGGGTTATTATTTCCAAGTGCTTAAAACAGTCTATACACTAACTGCTCTAAAACAAATTAGGCATGCTGTGGATTGTTATAGGTAATGTTGTCAGCCTGTAGCATTGAGAGGTACCCCTGACACTTCTGGAAGTGACTTCCCAGGGAAACTTCTGTTGTATCAGGGTTGTCCATGGTGTGTAATTTTCTTCTGACTGTGGTTGGAAGATGTGGATAAGAAAAAGTCAGCACAACTGCTATGAATTCTGTGTGTGAATTCAGTGTAGTCATTAGAGTCTTGATCCTTACCTCTTCCTCATTCTATGCCCTAAAGGTAGGATTCATGTCACCTGACTTAAGACACTTGGATCTGAACTTGTCACCCCTGACTTTCTTGCTAAGTAATGGAAAGAGATTGATAACTTCAGGATTGTTCATGTAACCTGTTAAACTTCTGAAAGTACCTTTCTACTCATTGAATTATAGATAGTACAGTTATACAGAAGCCTGGGTTGGACTGGGGCAATCTGATTCCTGCTGCACTGCTGTCCCTAGTGGGACTTCTTGCTCCAGTTGTTGGTCACGTAGAAGCTGATGGCTGATCATCTGGGCACCATGTAACAAAACTGATCCGAAATCTTTAAAGCTAACTAGATACTTCTGAACTAAATGTTCAGACAGCCAAAGCCAAAGGAGCAGGTTCAAGGGCCAACAGCCATCTCAGTAGGCAGAGGAGAGCCTTTTCAGTGGAGGGACATAAATGGGGCTCCAAACAGCTACAAGCATTTGTTGCAGTTGCCTTCCCATTACTGGACCCATATCAGCTCAGTACATTGTAAACCCAGTGATAAATGCAGCATGTTGTCTTGCTGTGTAATGTTATTGAGAACCTGTCATAAAGCTCAACCAGGTAATTGTGGCCAATAACTGGCAGCTTGAAACAGTCTTTGTCTATATGGGTTTGTCCCCTGATACTCATGTGTGGGTATAAGAGCAGCAATATTGGCATGTAGTAGGGATTGCCTTGCATCAGCCTGGAACCTAAGCTACTAGAGCAGAGAAATCATTTAGGTTATTTCTTGCTTCTGTGCTGTGAAACATTTCTGTTCCCTGCAAACAATTTCCTGAGAAACCAGGAGGCAGCACCCAGGCTGTGCTATTCCAGCTGCAAGGACAGGAGCATGAGTGGGTGGAAAATTCCTTAATTTCATACAATTAGATCTACTCAGTTTCTTGTCCTATGCACTTTAGGACCTCAGGAGAGATTTTTCCTTTTTTATCTCCTGATGCCTACTGCTTAGCTGTTGCTAATACACACTTTACATGTCATTGTATTTATTCTGAAAATAGACATCTTTGCTAGCAGACACAGTATTGAATTTGTATATGCCACCAAGGAAACGCTTAGAAAATAACAAACTGGATCTGCCTACAGTTGAGGAGAGGGGATATCAACCTGTTCCTCTGTTCAATGAATCCTCTGCTTCAAAAGCTGCCAGTAAAAATAGATTTGAGAGGTGGATTGGATCCTGAGCAGCTGTTGCTAAGCTCCAAAGGTATCTAGGTGTAATTGCTTTTGTTTCTGGTAGCTTAATACTAAGTGAGGATGGCTAGTTTGTGTGTTGTCTAATTAGCGGGTAGGATGCCAGAGCCCTGGGCTACCCTGCATGGCTGTGAGATGCTTCAGCCTTAATGTGCCATGAACAACCACTTCTGAAGAGGATGTGCACAGAGGATGCCTGGCAGAGGGAATTGGTCCCTGTTGCCTGAGAGGAAGATGCAGAGCCACAGAGAATGAATGCAAAGCAAATATAAATGTGCATGTGTACTGATCCTGGTCTCCCTTTCTGGTTTTACATTATGCCTTTGGGGAGTGCTTAAACTCTGATGGGATAGAAATCCCAAAGGGCACCGTGCCTAGCAGAAGTGCAAGCAAACTCCTTGTGATCCTTTAGAGAAGGATCTCTTGTCTGACATTGGACTTTCTCCTCCTATGTTAAACATTAGAATTTTGTCTTCCTCCTGATGAGGTACTTGATTTCTGGCAGACATCTGCCAGGTGCTGTGAAATGCAACTCTCCTTGAGTTCCCCTGGTTGTATGTCAAATGGGGGTCTACTGAGGAATCCTGAATATACTCCGTGCAGCCTCTGCTAGATCTCAGGTGAGTTGCTCATGCCTCTGTATGTGGTAAGCAGGTTTTTAGGGACAGTCAGAGACTATGTTGGCCATGTCCAGGACTGGTACGCACAAGTATCACACGCACTTTGTACCCTCAGGCCACCTTGATGGAGGTTTGTCCCCCTGTCAGTCCTGCAGGCAGATCTGGAAGAATCAATATGGAAAAGGGTTTGAATGATGTCATGTGTTGAAGTAATTTTAAATAACATTTTAAAAATTCAGGATTATAGTTTCTACATGGAGTGCTATAGGAAGCAGAACCTGGTGATGAAATCATGAATCCAGTGACCAAAACCCTTGGGTTCTCTCTCACTTCTGCTGTTGACTTCCCATATGACCTTCTGTCACAGTATTTATTGGCTGTGAAACAGCCTGTATTGAAAAGACTTTAAAATAAAAAGTTTTACCTGCAGTTTGTTTTGCAGTCATTTCTCATGTCAGCAGACCCAGGAGAGTGGGTGCGAGAAGGGAGGTTTCTGGGCTGGGCTTTTAGTGTGAAACATCTGCAGGTTCCTGTCAGTCCTTCTGTGTGTTTCAACTGAAAAGCAGTTGGAAGTATTAATCAAATGTTCTGTGTTGAGGAAGGTCAGCAGTCCCCATGTGAAGTACATGGAAGGTAGGAGATTTTATCTCTCTGTCTGTGGGCTTGGACACTCTTGCTGCCAAAACAAAATGACACATTTTAGAAGCGATGTTCTGCTAACAGAGGAACGAGCTGCCAGCCAACTGATCTGCATGTTTGTGTGAGTGCCAGAGTGAATCATACATACTCCATCATTTTATTTTTCCAGCCATGGCCAACAAATCTGTTCTTAAAAAAGAAAAAAGGCGGAAAAGCCGTTAAGTCAATATTTATGCCTAGCAACCTTAACAGGGTTCTTCCAATATGGACTCTTTTGTGTCCCGTGGAAATCCATGGCAACATTCCCTGAAGTCTCGAATGGGTGGGGATGGAGTGGGAAGGAGCTCACTGTTGAGTGCAGTGCTGGGAGAGACTGAGTCTGCAGTTAATCCAGGAGCCTGAGCCCAACAGAATTTAAGTGTGTGCCTAATTTTAGATGGTTATTCATTCCAGTGAAATCGGTGAGTAGATTGAGTTTACCTTGATAAGCTCAGTTCTAAAGGGATGCTTCAGAGCAGGGTGAAAGTCCCACTAGGCACCTGTGTCTCATACCATATCAGGAGGGGAGTTTTCTTAATGTCATTATGTGCTAGTGCACAAGGATTGCTGTTTCTTCTAATTGTGTGCTGGCTGCCTGTAGCTGGACACAGGGTAAAATACTACATCTCATCACAGAGTCAGGTGAGAAGCTGAGCTGCGTCATTTTTAGGCATTAAAATGTATTTCTTCTGCAGTGGAAAATATGCTATGGTTTAGAATCTGTTTGAGGAAGAAAACTGAATCTCTAGGACAGGACTATCACAGCTCTTAGTAACTAACCAGCTGTGGGGAGTGACAGCACGTCATCACCTTCATGTGACACAAACTTTTTCTGACCTGAGATGTGGGGACTTTCATAACCTGCTCTGAAAGCAACCATTTTCTGGTTTTGAGCAGAAAAGTAAATGCAATCCTTTCCATTGTTTGCTGTAGAATAGAGGAAATTTCTTCCACTTACGGTAATTGTGCAGGTGTGAACAGGCTGAAAGATGAATCGTCTGTTAGATGGGCTCCTGAAGGCAGTAGGTGGTGTGAAGTGTTGGACTGCAGAGAAATACCAGTCTGAGGTTCTAGTTAAATAGAAGAAAACCAACCTTGTGAGAGTCAGACAGAGAGAAATATGCCTGATTTGGGTTTTTTTGTGGTTTTGTTTTTTGTTGTTTTTTTTTTTTTCCTTGGTTATACCACTATTTATCACAAGAAATTTTCTAGCTGCCTGGGTAATACCGGCACAATCATACAGATTCAGTGCTGAGTCAGAGCAAAGCAAGAGGAGGAACAATAAACTGTGCGTAGCCCTGCACCCAGGTGTATTGATTACTTAATAGCAGTAATGTGCACAAATAACTGTCTTGTTAAACAAATTCTGTTTAGCTAGCAAATCATGCTCTGCTTTAGCTAGTTTCTGCTGAACAGGGATTTTAAAAATAATTTCTGGACTATTTAGGTATTTCCTACTCACACCCCCTCTTCTTTACCCTCCTAGGTCCTCTGGGAGAGGCACCATTAAATTCCTTATTACAAATCAGAGCCATGCCTAATTGCAGACTGAAGCCACTTTTCCTGTTAAACGGCATGATCAAACTGTTTCTAGCAGGTCAGCTAAAATTCTGCCAGTGCTTTCCATTCCCATTTCCTTGGAAGACAGGGGGACTGGCTGTTCAGGCGGTGATTCATGCCCAGGCGGCTGCCTTGCTCCTTATATGCCTGCATCTACAGCCAGAAGCTGCTGCTATAATAAGGAGCAGAGAAGAGAGGTGGGGAAGCATCCTCTTGCAAAGTCAGGGAGGTCAGGGCTGTACCCATCTCAAAACTGAACAAAAAACGGCAATGAAAATTTTTCCTGAAGTGGGTGACAGTGTGGGTG